CTTCCTGTAGTTTATTGTATTTTGTAATATCTTTAGGATAAAAAAAAAGGTTATTTCTAAAAGGATGCATTTGTGATGAGGATAAAAAAAGCACACTGTAAAAACCTCAAGTTCCAGCTTTGGTGCTCAAACTTTGGACAAGCTACTAAACTGCCCTGTGCCTCAGTTTCCCCATCTGTAAAATGAAGCTAATAATAGTATCTGCTCCCTAGTCTGAGGATCATATGAGAAGATGAGAACAGAAGCATTATACAGTATACATCAGAGGTTACAAACTGGTGTGTTTTGTTTGGCCCATGTTGTTGGCCAGCAGAATTTAAAATTTGAATTGGTTTGCTACTTTTGAAATGTGGATATTTCACAGAGAAATTTGGATTTCTGGCTTCTCTTGAAACTTTTTAAGAACTACAGGCTAGTTCGAAGAATCCCAACAGGCTACATAAGCTGCCATAATGTCTCGAACAATGAAATGGAGGAAATCCTTTATGCATGATTCAGTCCCTATGAAGACGGTCTCTCATCTGTAGCAACCATGCTTGCAAATCAAGTTAAGCAAGGCCCCTTGGAGACAGAAGGGCAGACTGAACTCTGGGGACTAGGCTCCATGTAGTGGGAGCCGAGGGCAGAGATGGCCACATAAAGGGCCAGCTGAGTGGATGAAAGATTGGCCACCTCGGCATTGTGACTCCCTGCAACGTGTCTCATTATGACCATGCTCCCTCACCTGTTGGTGGGTGTCCGCAGGTCCTGGCATGAGTGCACTGTGGGTCAGGGCCGGTGGTGGTGGTGGGGCGGCCCGTGGCCCAGGTGGCCCTAGGACCCCCCCACCATGGAAAACCGGCTCTGGTATGACAACCTGGGGTGCTGCCATCAATACCAAGAAAGAACCCAGAATGTGGAGGACTTCCTGCTCCTGCTGTTGGGCCTTGTCAGCACTGGGATCAGCATGGCAACTATGGTCAGAGATGGTTGGGGACCACCAGTAGGGGTGAAGAGGGCTGAGGGTGGGAACCAGCTGCAGCCTGCACCTCCATCTGCAGGAATGGTCTTGGCTGGGGGGGGGGGCGGTGAGGGTACAGAGCCTGGCCTTCATTTTCACCCACCCCACCCCACCAACCCCAGGTATGGCATGGGCTCCAGAATGCCTTAAACAAGACCATCTATTGGATTAACCAGAAAAGTAAGTATGGAAGACAGGTAAGTGGCACCCCCCCGCCACTCCCTGGGCCCTAGGAACCCAGGCCCCCAGATTCCCAACACTGAACTCTTCTGACAGTTGCCCTGCCCTCACGGACTCTCGCTTCCCCCAGATGAAATCTCACAGGCTTGTGAAAGGTCCCCCAAACATCCTCCTGCCAAGGCCCATGAAGTCCACATCCACTGCACCCTGGACCCTGTGGAAATGAAGATGGCCCGGCCCGCTTGCTACTCCCTGTCCTCCTACCATCATCTCTGCAACCATAGACGCAGCTGCAGCCGCCGCCCCGGCAGCCACCAGCGGAGGCCGAAGAACCGCAGACAATTCCCCTACAGCCGCTCAGGCTTCCGTAGGCTGCATCGCAGCCACGGGATGTCACAGCTGCGGCCGATGCCCTCCTTTGATTGCGAGGACCCGGACTCCTACCTGGAGGAGGAGGAGGATCTTTCCTTCCCACAACCCAAGTACCCGTGGGGGTGCTGGGGAGGGCTCTACCAGCAGATGGGCCTGCTCTCCAACGTGGGCCTCTGGGGCCGCCAGGGTGGGATCCTGGCCAGCCTGCCACCACCCTGTCTCTACCTGTCGCCCGAGCTGCGCTGCATGGCCAAGCGTGTGGAGGCCAAGTCCGAGCTAAGGCTGCAGTCCTTTGGGTCCCCCTGCTCACCAACCCGCATCTGGGGCAACGTGGAGGCTGACCGGTGGACCTCGTCTCCACCACCTCCCCGACGATTGCCCCCTAACCCCTCGTGGGTCCCTGGGGGGCACAGCACTTACCCCTCAAGGGGCCAGCTCCCGTATGACTCCTGGGATCAGCAGCGGCGTGGTCTGGAGGGCTCTGGGCCTCCATCCGCTCTGGTGCCTCGGGGCTGCCGGCCCGAAGCCTGGCAGCGCAACTCCCCACCGGCCAGTGGACAGAGCCTCCCCAGCTGTGCTCACAGCCAGCCCAACCGCAGGCCACACCTCTCCACGGGACACTTGAACTACTCCCGGGATCCCCACAAGGTGCGGCGCCAGGCGGCCGAATGGGCTGATATGCTGCCCGTGCGGCGCCCTCTGGCCGCCTCCGCCTCCCTCACGGTGCTGGCCGAGGCCTCGTACCAGCGGGCCCCGGCTCCCAGCTCAGCGCTGCTCCTCTGCCCCTCCCAGCCCCTGCCCAAAGTCCAGGCTACCGAGCACCCTCCACCCCCATCCACCTTCATGCCACTCAGCTGGAACCCGGGGGGGGAAATGCCAACTACCAGATGTATGACAGCCTGGAGCTGAAGTGGCAAGTGCAAGAGAGCCAAACGCGGGCCAACTCGCTGCTACCTTCCAAATCGGCCTCAAGGCCCTCTCTGCATGGGAGACAGACTGGGAAAATGAACTGACCAGCAGCAAATGGGGCCGGGGTGGGGCCGTCAGGGCATGGAGAGAGGAATAAAGAGCGCCAGAGTCCAGGAAACATTGGTGGTCTGTGGCTTGGAAGCACCACTCCTTCTGCCAGCCTGGGTCCCTGCGCTTGGCTTCCTGCAATAAGAAGCCAGTGTCCCCTTCTTGGCCTGAGGGTCCCCTTGGTTTAGTGGTCACAGTTCTGCCAGCAGGCCCCTCCTGGTCCTATACCATGCACTAAGTACATCTGCAGCTGCAGACTCCAAACCCCTGGTCTCTGGGCACCTCCTCTGTGTCTCAGCTCTCCCTGTCCCCAAAGAGCCTCATACAAGAAGCTGCTTCCATCTGGGAGGTTCCACATCTGGGCAGGTCCAGCTCCAGGCCCAGTGAAGGGCATGAAGAAGGCTGAGGCTCTGGACTCCAGCCAGGCCTTCAGCAGACCTCTGAGGCCGAGGTCTTCCTAGTCTCAGGAGGGGCCAAGAGATGGAATGTGTCATTCGAACAAGTGAGTGAGCGGGCGGTGAGCGAATGAATGACCGCTCGGGAGGTGTGCCGGCCTACGGGCCCTGTTTGACTGTCCAGGCTCAGCTTACCTGACCCTGGTTACCAGGCAATGCCACCCTGGGCCCTCCTTTTCGTCCCCCTCCCTCACTGTGATGTCACCACCTGCCCCATTATGACCCAGTCTGACACCCAGTTAAAAGTGGAGGGCAGGGGGCCCAGGCAGTCCTGGGACCAATGGCCATGGGTGAGCGAACCTACTGTGGAGCTGAGCCGTTCCCTGGCCCCATCCCCAGGAAATGCCAGGAGCAAGGAGACGCAATAATCCTGCTCCTGGTCAGCTTGATCTTCGTCAACGTGGGGATCAACATGGTGGTTATGGTCAGGGCAGGAAATGTGCAGCGGGGTTGGGGGAGCCCTGGGGTCTTGAAGGGGCTGAGGTGGGAGGGCTGCTGGGGTGTGGCCGGACAAGGGTTGGATTTCAGGGCTCACCCTGCTCCCGGCCTCCCCCCTCCCCTTCTTCCCTCAGCTCTGGAGGCATCTGAAGAGATTCTTGCGGGCACTTTTCAGACGTTTTTTCACCAAAGGTGAGTGGGCGCTGGCGTGGGTTCAGGGGATGTGGGCCTGTCCCCTTTCTTCTATCCCTGCCTTGATTCTCAGCCCCTCAGGAACCCAGGCCCTGACCCATCTCGCCTTTCCCTGCAGACAAGCAAGCCAGCTGTGTAGGCAGCCGTCACATGCGCATGCGCTGCTCCATGGATCCCAAGAACCTGTGCTCAAGAGTTTCTCCCTGCTTCCGCCATGGCCCAAGCTTCCTACTCGGGCACCCAAACCACCCTGACTCCTGGATACGAGACAGAAAAGATGAGAAGGCTTCTAAGTACTGCTGGATGCCGCCTCAGTGTGGACGGGCTGGGGCTTCCACGGAGGTTCCACGGGGACTGTGGAAGGAGCGGGTAGTGAGAGCTGGGGAGGCCCCTCCGGTCACAGTCTTAAAGTCCCAAGCCAACTTTTACTCCAGGTAAGAGACATCTTCCAAGCTCCGCAGGATGAGCAAGGTGGACGTGGTTCCACTCCGCCTGCCCCAAGAGAGCAAGACTAAGACCCCAGACTCTGACCCAGCCCAGTCCCCAGCCTGGGCCCAGACCCGCCCCCCAGTTCAGCCCCCTGCGCATGCTCCTGCCAAGGCCCAGACCTTCTCCTCAGCCCACCCCACTGAGCACACCCACCCCCCAGTCTGAGACCTGCTCCCGAGGCCACGCCCATGAGCACACTTCTGCCTGGGCCCAGACCTTCTCCCTAGTGCACCCCACTGGGAACACTCCTGCCAAAGCCCAGACCTTCTCCTCCACCCATCCCACTGAGCACGCCCCACCTCAGGCCGAGACTTGCTCCACATTCCACCTCCCTGAGCACACCACCCCCCAGGCCCAGACCCCCTCCACAACCCTCACCCCTGAGCACAGCCCTGCCCAGGTCCATGGCCCTGAGCATACCACAGCCCCATACCACAACCCAGGCCCAAGCCCAGGCCTCCTCACATGCCTCAGCCCAGTCCCTGGGCCACACTTCTCTCTGCACCCTGACCCATGCTCATCTGACCTATACCCATGCATACACTCTGGTCCCTCCCCCAAATTCTGCCCCAGTCCCTCCCCCAAATTCTGCCCCTGCTACTACTCCTGCCCTAGCCCCTACACCAGCCCCTGTCCCAACTTCTGACACAACCTCTGTCCCAGCGCTGGGCATGGCCCTGACGAACACTCCAGTCCCTTCCACCACCCCTATCCCCATCCTAGATTCTATTCCCTCTACCTTGTCTGCCTTCAGCCAAGGCCTCTCCTCCGGCTGTGTGGTCTATGATGCCTGTAGGGTAAAGCAGAACTTATTCCATGTGTGTGCCCCTCAGAACTCTGGGTATTCCAGAAAGGATTTTGGTACCCTCTCCAGGCCCCAAGAGGGGCATGGTCTGGTGAGCTCTGGTACAGCTGAACAAACACTCAAGCAATGTAGTGGGGACAGTGCTAAGCCCTCCACAGGATCCATTCTGGGTTACCTGGAGTTGGGGAATATGGAATGGAAGATCTCAAATGATTCCAAAGACAAATTTGTACAGTCCAAGACCTTCCCTTACTGCAGCTTCCTTCCTTGCAGGTCTCAGAAGAGAAACACGGACCCCCAGACTCCAGTCTACCCCAAATTCCTGTACTCCAAGGATGCTGTACCTTCTCAACCTTGCTTCCATTCTCCAAACAGTGCCCAGAGCTCACCATGCACCATGCCTCCACCATACACTCTTTATCTACCGCTTGTTTCTCCCAGATCCTGGGTCCTTCATCAACACAGCAACCACCAGAAGCCCTCCACCTTAATACAAACCCCCACCTTTCCCCCAACCTCCAAGTCTTCTCAGTCTGTCCTCTCTTCCCAGGGCCCCATCCCTCTCCAGTTATCCACTACTTCCCAAACCCCAAGCCAGGCCCAACCCCGTGAACTTCCTGAGAGTCAAGGCCTCAACCAAGCCTCTGTCCTCCAAAGGACCCCAGGCCCTTCCAAAGTCTGCAGAGTTTCCTGAAACCCAGGCCTAACCACAAACCCAGACCTCCCCAAGAACCCAGGCCTTGCTCAAGACCAAGGCCTCCACAAGCTTCCAGGCTTTACCCAAGATGCTGGAATTGACAGGGGCTCAGAACATACCCATGACCCTAGCTTACACAAGTACTGTGGAATTCATCGAGATCCTGACCCCAGAAGAGTCCAGCCCCTACTCAATACTCTGGCTTATTCAAGAGATCAGGCCTCCATAACAACTCATGCCTTATCCCAAATCCTGGCCTCCATAAGAACCCTTTAGGAACTGACTCTGTCCAAGTTTTGGGCCCACATCAGACCCGA